CAGGTTGCCCAGAGAAGCTGTGGCTGCCCCCTCCCTGGCAGTGCTCAAGGCCAGGTTGGATGGAGCTCTGAGCACCCTGGGCTGGTGGAAGATGTCCCTGCTCATGGCAGGGGGGCTGGAGCCAGATGAGCTTTAAGGTCCCTTCCAACCATGACCATTCCATGATTCTATGATTCTATTAACCCCCCAGACTGCAATCACCCCGCTTGAGGTCTGTGCATCACCACCCCACGCCCAACCCAGCGCCCGGGAGCGACGCTGGCAGAGATGCTCTGCCCCGGGGGTGGTGGCACTCACCACGAACACCAGTTTCCCCACGTTTGTCCAGGGGAAGTCGTAGAGCAGCTGCTTTTCTTCGTCCAAGTTCTGCAAGAGAGCAGGGGCAGGCCCCTCGCTCAGCCGCCTACCTGGAAGATCTGGATGCCCCGCGTCGTCAGCCCCAGCGTCAGGGAGGCTTCCACCTCCCTTTTGTCCTAAGGGAGAGAAAAAAGAGATGCTTTTAAATTGCATGACGTGGATAAATCTGGTCCCCGGGCCACGTAGCCTCCTGTAGCCACCCCATCTCCCATGCAGCAGCAGCCACATGCGGTAGGTGCCACGTTAATCACAGATTCATTTAGGTTGGAAAAGATCCTTCAGATCATTGAGTCCAGCTGTTTAATTAACGATGCACACACGCCACCCGGTCGCATCCTCTAACACCCTCGCTGGCCTCACCTCCAGGCATCTGCTGTCCCCCTCACCGGCCAGAAACACCCCAGCCCGAGGGTCTGGGCAAGCGGTTTAACCTCAGAAAACTTGCAAGGACCTTCAGAAACAGAGCTGGGGCACTTTTGCGCTCGAGCCCACCCTGCTGCTACGCCGGCACCATCTGCTTTCCCAAAGGCTTCTCCTCTTTAAGTTAAGGATGCTACAAAATGGTTTGGGAAGCACCAGCTCGCAGCAAGCAAATCGCTTTGTTCCCAGGAGCAAAACCCAGCAGGTATTTCTTGGAGGTGGGATACCAAAAAATAAGATCCCAGAAACCTCACGGCTGCCTCCCCACACCCCGGCAAACCTCTCGCATCTCCACAACTCGTAGAAAATGGCAGGACTGTACAAAGCTGCATCTCCCTGTATCTCAAGAAGGAGACTCCACAACCTCTCTAGGCAACCTGTTCCAGTGCTCTGTCACCCTCAAAGTGAAGAAGTTCTTCACAGTTTCTCCTTTCAACAAAAAGCGGCCCCGAATCCAACGCCCAGCCTGGGCTCGCAGCCGGGGCTCACCTTGTACAACCTGTAGTAGTGCACAGCCACGTCGTCCAGCCGGACGGCCTCCTTGATGTACTTGAGATGGGCTTCGGAGGCCGTCAGGGCAAACTGGTCCTTGTGCATGTTGGGGACGTGCTTCAGGATGTAGTCTTTGCCCCTCTTCGCAACCACCTGTTTCGAGGAGAAGAGAAGCTGGTCCAGGAGAGCTGCTCCATGCTCGCTCTGGGCTGGCTGCCAGCCCCACGCTCCCGGACAGCAGCGAATTCCAAGGAAAAGGGGAATTGGAGCAGTACGCTCCGTTATAGCGACCCACAAGCAAAAGTAGATCATAGAATCACAGAATCATTATGGTTGGAAAACACCTCTAAGATCATCGAGTCCAACCATCCACCCAACACCACCATGCCTGCTAAACCATGTCCCCAAGTGCCACATCTTTTTTGAATCCCTCCAGGGATGGGGACTCCACCACTGCCCTGGGCAGCCTGGTCCAACGCCTGACCACTCTTTCAGGAAAGAAATTTTTCCCAATATCCAGTCTGAACCTCCCCTGATGCAACTTGAGGCCATTGCCTCTCACCCTATCGCTGGTTACCTGGGAGAAGAGACCAACCCCCACCTCACTCCAACCTCTTCCAGGCAGTTGTAGAGAGCGAGAAGGTCTCCCCTCAGCCTCCTCTTCTCCAGACTGAACAGCCCCAGCTTCCTCAGCCGCTCCCCATCAGACTTGTTCTCCAGACCCCTCCCCAGCCTCATTGCTCTTCTGGATACAGCAGCCAACAACTTCTCACCAGCAGGATTTCCCACTGGGAAGTGCAGGCGTGCCGAGACCATGGAGCTCACGCCACCGGAGGTGCCCGAGCTGGGGCAGGCAGAGCCACACACGGGGTCCCTGCGTGGCTGGGGACTTGGCCCAACAAAGAGGAGATGGCAGTCTTGGGGCAAAACCCAGAAAGCCCAGGAAGTGCGCCATGGTGCCTACATCTTTTATTAATCTTCCCAGGATCTGCTGGCAGCCCCGGCTGTGGGGAACCATGGGGGAGGCTCAGCTGCTCGGGGTCCAAGGGCACATCACATGCAGCCATGCAGCTCCTCTCCTCTCCCCTCCTCTGTAAGTAATATTTGCCCATCTGGTAATAAATGGACTTGTTTTGGGGTACCCTGCAGAGGTGGGACCCTTTGCTGCAGGGAGGGAGGTCCATGCCAAAGGGGGGGGTCCCTGCTGAAGGGGGGTCACTGCCGAAGGGGGTCCCAGCCAGGAGCTGCCCATGCCATATGGGACCACTTCCTGCTCCGCTCCTGCACAAAGCCATCAGGATGGCATCGCCCCAGCGATCCCCATCGTCAGAGGTGACCTGGGGCTGCGTGTCACCCTGTGCCTTGCCTCAGTTTCCCTCCAGGACGATCCCAGGAGCTGCCTACACCCGTGGCTGATGCCAGCATGGAGGACATTGGTTCCCAAAGGGCTGCAAAGCCCAGGGGGTGCACACACCGATGGCGGGGTGACACCGCGGTGGCACGGGGCACGCAGGGAAGCACCCCTGCAGCACACAGGGAAATCCCCAGCAGCAGCGTGGGCCACCACACCGACCCCAACCCTCCCTGCCCACAGCTATTTGCAGCCCGGCAGTTGTCAGAGGTTTTTAATAACCGGGACCAAGCCAGAGACGAGGAGGCAGCAGGACCGCCGGTCACCCGGGAATCACAGATTCACAGAATGTTCGGGGTTGGAAGGGACCTCTGTGGGTCACCCAGTCCAACCCCCTGCCGAAGCAGGGTCACGTTCAGTAGGTTGTAGAGGACCTTGTCCAGGCGGGTCTTGAATATCTCCAGAGAAGGAGACTCCACAGCCTCCCTGGGCAGCCTGGGCCACGGCTCGGTCACCCTCAGAGGGAAGAAGTTCTTCCTCATCTTCAGCTGGAGCTTCCTCTGCTTCAGTTTGTGCCCAT